AAATTTATCTTGTCAGATTAAATGCACAAGAATGCAGTTCTTTTGCAGTAAGATAATCTTTCTCATTTATTAAACTTATTCTCTGAAAATGTATTTTGTTGTAATGTACAACCGTAATAATTATACTATGGTACAACGTGGCACATTCGTTATAGCCATAGTTAGGCTATTAGCAATTAGAATTACTATCTAATTGACTAAATATAAACGCTCAAAGGTATGGAATACCATCTAAGCGTCAGCGTTAGGTATTACCGAAAAATAGCTTTTGGTTTTTCACAGATTTGGGGTGTAGCGTGTAAGTATACAATGAAAATATTTGAAGGGGTCAAATTCTACAAAATTCCAAGAGAATCGTGAGCGATGCTTCTGTGGTATACAGTAAGAACGCCATAAATCATTTTATCGTTTGTTTCAGCACCTATATTTACTAATGCACGTTTTTTATTTCCATTACAGAATCACGGCTTCACTCAGTTTTAAAGAAAGGAGCATCTGATGCGTCAAATAATGAACACATAGGAGAGAGCCTTTATCATCAATCCATTCCATTGTTCATCTCAAATCCTTCTACACAGGAACCTTTATTAAACTCTCAAAAGCATGCCATTCTATCAAAAAATAATGACAACATATTTATTAATCCTCAAATGCCCCTAAAGGTCCCCCTTCAACAGTTTTTCCAAGTTCCTCCTCAGGCGCCCGATTATGCAAGCAATCCTTTCCTTACGGGCACAGTACCACATCAACCACTCACCATTCCATCGACAACAACTGTACTCCCATCATATGAGAATAATCCATTCTTAAATGTGCACAACGAAACTTTACAGGAGTCTAATGTTATCCACTTAGTACCGAAGCCAATTCCAGTAAATACCTACAACCCATTTTTACATCCCGAATCATCCCAGACGACTTCGCATCCACCGATAACAGAGGCGTCGACCCTGAAACCCATCCTAATTAACATAAACAATCCATTTTTGAATCAACATGCCTCTACCCCATCACCTTCGATCAAGAAACCGGAAGAATTCAACCCACAAACGTCCACACATTTACCGATAGAACAACCACGGATACCTTTGCCTGCGGAAAATGAAAGTAAGCACTTTATCTATCAAATTATTTTCCATCAATTGAAATTATTTAGAAATCAATCAACTTCGAAGTTTCTGTGCCAAGCCCCGTGGACAATTTCCCAGCGACAGATGTAATACGTTTGTTAACTGTTGGGATTATGTAGCGGTGGAACAAACCTGCCCACCGGGATTAGTTTTCAATTATGCCGGATATTGTGATTACCCTCAAAATGTAGATTGCCATGGACGTAGTTTTGAAGGTAAATTGAAGTTATAATTAAGCATGGTGACGCCAAGTCGACGACAAATTTTGGAAACTGTATGTTTGTTTAAAAAATTGAATGAGTGTTTAAATTTAGTTGTGAATGTGATGTGCTTACTCCAAAACATCTTGTCTACTTCCACGTTACAAGGTTTCGGGAATTAACGCGGTAGTCCTTTGGTGGCCCTTTGTTACTTTGTTGCAATGGTAGCTATGACGCTAATGTAATATTTTTGCATTGTAGAAGTATTGGTAGTTCAACCTCCTGAAACAGTTTCATTGGTAATCAGTGGAGAGCAGCACACGAATCACATCGAACACGGAAATAAGCCAGTTCATCCTTCAACTCCTTGTAACCATGTCGAAGTTAGCACGGCAGCGCCTATTGAATATGTACCTAAGCCAGGTAAAAACCATGTCGTAGTTCAACCCCCAAATACTTTAAATGGATTTTCAGTTGATGCACGTTTGAGAACGAAATGTTTACGACCCAGAGGTCAGTTCCCAAGTGACGAATGCAATAAATACGTAGAGTGTTGGGACGATAACGTTGCTGAGGTTGAGTGCCCTAAAGGGTTGTATTTTTCTGAAAAGGGATACTGCGATTATTTATACAACGTCAATTGCCATACTCGCACAGTTGTCAGTAAGTGCATTTTGCAATCTACAAAAGCTCGTTCACTTATATTATTTTTGCAGGGGAAGAAATTGCTTCACCTTGTCCACGACCAGATGGAAGCTTTAGAGACGTTGACAACTGCAGGAGTTATTTTGTATGCATTTCTAACGTTGTTGTTGGCAAACATGAATGTCCTGTCGGATTGTATTTCAATGACGTAAGATACCCACTCAAGAAATATGCCCTGTAAATAATTTCAATTTTGTAGATTATCGGAGTTTGTGATTATAGCCATAATGTAAATTGCAAAAGAGAACCATTTGTATATCAACAGCCACAGACTGCAAATACAGTTCAAAAAATACCGGCTGGTAAGTTTGCCCTAGTTCACAATAAACTGAAGAACAGCTTCTTTAACAAAAATAATTTTTCTTTGATTTTGTGACGACTTACTAATACTCAACACGTTAGAAGATTCTATTCTTTCGTAGTATGTACCTACGAGTACTTATAGTGTAGGTGTTATCGAGTTATCGATAATTTGCTCGATTTTAGGTATACTGGGTGCAGTTAAGGATTGCCAACCTGGGAAAGTGTTCAGACTAAACAATGACTGTTCAAGTGCAGTTTTATGTAGAAAGGGAGAAACAGAAGTAGTATATTGTCCTAATGGTTTAGCTTACGATGCACCTTCTGATAGATGTTTACCTTTACAAATAGCAAAATGGTAAGATGGTAATTTCAGCAAGTACCAAAATCGAGGTACTGTAGCACATCCCATGCCAAAAATTTAAATTCTATTCCTCTCAACGTTCTGATCATAGATTAAATGGTTCTGATTAAGGGATTGCTCAGAGTGGGGGCGTTGCGTCGCGTCGATCGTAAAACAATCTAATGTAATCACGCGCAAAATTCAGGGTGGTAGCGACCAACGCCGCGTTAAGTCGCGGTATGTGACGCTCCTATTATATAGGGCAGTCACGACGCTTGACGCAACGCTGTCCCGACGCTCGTTACTCTCACTTTGAACAGTCCCTAAGACTATATAATTTGGACGTAAACTAAAAACTTGATTTTCCGTGTTTGTTTTCCAAAGTAGGAAAAAATTATTGAAAAATAATTTATTATCGACTATTATGTGTAATTTTAGATTGTTAATATGTATGATCTAAGGTCTTTTCAGTTGACATAGCTTCATTGAGTAATTCTTCACTCAACGATAGCTTGATGTATCTTTATTACAAGATTTCCTCGCAATAATGCTAAATACTATTCTGTATTATGTGTAGTCTACCATCAGGTACTTTAGTATGCAACTTTTGAATTTTAAGCTGCGATGGAAGTGACGTCTACAGTAACTTGAATATGAATTTTTGTTTATAGGTTTATAATAGGTATTCATATTGATTATTTTATATTTTTAGCGATGTCGCTTAGAAGATAATGACTAAGAAGAACCAGATGCGGGATGCAGTTTAGAGTTCACGCTAAATTATATGGTTGAAGAAATCCAATACTTCTATAGAATTACAATGAAAAGACTGAGCATTTTACGAAATATTTAAAAACATACTTTTTTTCTAATATTTCGTCAATTATAGAATAGTTGCTTCAGTGTACTAAGCAACCTTTCTATTGGGGGTGTGGTGGTGGTTATTCAATTTTGGTCATCTAAGAAGTTACGTTTGACAATATAATTTTGTTTTTGTGAAACCAAACTGTATGGTCTCCTAGTTTGTACACATGCCATAGTAATATAAATATAACGATAAAAATAAAATCAATCCTAATAAGCGAAATGAATAAACAATATTTATATTTCCATTCATTATTATTGATATACCCTTGCCACAGATTTAAACACTCTAAATCTATACCCTTACTTAAAAATCGTGTCTTGTTATAAAAGAAAGGTCACACGAAGCCGTTGTACCTTATTAACGAGCTACTAGCGAGTTTATGATTTTGAGGTGCCTGTCCGTCCGTTAGCATGATATCTCGATAACGAATTGACCGATTACGATGAAATTGCAGGTGCTTTATAAAATGTTTAGATCGGAGTTCGTGAATTGGCAATGTAAGCCAAACAATAAGGAAGGTCCTTTTGAGATCTGCATTCGTTATGAACCGAATTGCACGAAATTTAATATGGGCATAGCTTTAGCCATATACTAACCAATGCCAA